TTTGAAACTTAACGATCCTCATGGAAGCTTGAGGATAGATGGTTCTCATGATAGCATGAGAATAGAGGTGTGAAACAACACAGTGGAACGCAGGTAGAAGCGTGGAACGAGACGACGAGCAACAGATTCGAAGAATCCAGTTTTTAGCTCGTGAGTCGACTCATACATGTACATGAGTCGACTCATCAGGTTGAGTCGACTCATGACTGTCATGAGTCGACTCACGAAATCCAGTCGTTTTGTCAAAAATTTCTGACCAGTCGACTCATCAGTTTACGAGTCGACCCATATGTCATGAGTCGACTCATCTCAGTTACGAGTCAACTCATAACTGATTTTGGGGTTTGTTCAGCTTTCGGGTGAGTCGACTCATTACAGTCACGAGTCGACTCATCGATGGTTTCCTGGTGTGTTTGGGATTCTGTTTGCACGAATTCCTGTAGGATTTGGGCTTGGTTATTTACTACTTTGTCATTCACGTTGTTCCACATATAAAAGGGATTGTTTTAGGGTTTTAAAACAATCAGAGGAGATTAGATTGTATGGGAGAATTGGGAGAGATTGTTCTTCAATTCTAGTGAGATTGTGAGAGATTGTAAAACTATTTTTATTCTCATAATCTAGAGAAGATATTTTCCTTCGTCACAACTGAATTGTTCTTGTGATTCTTATTATTTTCTCCTCGACCCACCTTTGATAATTCCGCGATCAAAAGTGCTCGCACGGCAACTCGTATCATTTATTTAGAAAATTTATTCTTGTTGTAGTTGAAATTAAACATTTGGGACATAAGAGTACTCATTTTTAGGGTTTAGGATTTAGGGATCAATTTTAGGGTTTAGGATTTGGGGGTTTACGGTTGTAATTGGGGTTTAGGGTTGTAATTGGGGTTTAGAGTTGTAATTGATAATATATTTTAAATTTTTTACATTTAAATGATATAATTTTGTTTTACATAGGTTGAACAATATGATTTTTATTACTTGCTCTTATGATGGAACGATTAATTATGGAATGAATAATATGTCAATGTACGTCGGAGGGGTGACAATCCCATTAATGATATCGGAATCATATAGTTACCTTGACTTAGTTAATGAATTGCATCGAGTTACGACAATTGACCCACGAGAGTATCGACTATAAATAATATGCAATTGGCCGATAACTTGTGATAGAACGTCCGCAGTTGAGATCTCAAACGATCATTCGATGAGTATTTTTTTTAATTTGAGCAAGTTACAACCAACGGTAGAATTTTTTATTGAAACGGTGACACATAGTACGAGCCAAATATTCAACCCTCCAGGAGAATTCTCACGCATGATAGATTTGGGAGTTGAGTCCGAAGGCTTTCTTTCTTCTTCGAGCGAAATACAGCAGACTCAATTTTAATATCACAGTGGTCCACCTTCATATGAAGAGGATGAAAGAAGTGACGCCTCTGATGGTGAAGATGAAGATAGTACACTAATTGACAGCATGCAATTTGTGTGTGAAGATGATGAAGAGAATCCGGATTGGCCAAATAAAGCTTATGTTAATAATGAATATGTTAAGTACGAAGAACCACCCCCGACGAGTTTGAGGATGATGAGTGGGTTCGTTCTTCCACAGTACATGATATGCGCATTGGCGAAAGTTCATCCAATAGAGGAGATGATGAGGTCCCTTTCAGAGTTGGTGAATTATTTGAGACTAAAGACCAATTGGTTGATGTTATTCATGATTACTCAATCAAAAAATTGGTCAAATTCAAGCAAATTAAAAACAATCGCACAAGTCATGAGACAATTTGTTTATGAATACACAAAGGCAAGGTCGGGCAGAGGGGAATGAATCTGATTACGCATGTCCTTAGAAGTTATATGCATTTGCCGAAAAAAACATAATGGGTATTTTAGGATCATAAAATACTACGGTATTCACACATGTAACAATCCAATGTTCGAGAGAGACCACAGTAGTGCCTCCGCCTCTTATATAGCTCGGTTGATTATGCCAAAATTAAAGAAGAAAGCTTAAACTAAAGCCCGATGACATAATTGATAGTGTCACATGATAAGTGGATTGAAATATCGTATATCAAAGCGTGGAATGCAAAGAGAATTACGATGACAAATATTTGGTGATTGGGAGAAGCCTTACGCGACACTGCCTCAATATCTTAATGCGATCAAAAGAAGCAATCATGAATCTGAATACAAACTCATAACCAACGAGGTCAATCCGGGAGTTCATAAATTCACCTCTGTATTTTGGGTATTTGGTCCTTCGATCGAGAGATATAAATTTTGTCGGTCGATCTTTAGTATTGATGGGACACACTTATACGATAAATATAAGGGTGTATTGCTTGTCGCTACAGAAGTAGATGCAGATGGGGGCTTATTTCCTTTGGCCTTTGCAGTTGTAGAGGTCGAGAACAGTGAAAATTAGGAGTGGTTTTTTTCTTGCATCCAATTATATATTTTTATGTCTTGCCTCCTAGGAAAATTACTTTTATATCCGATAAAATAAAAGGTATTTCAAGAACATTGTACAGGAGATTTGGCTCTCATCATAATCATCGCTATTGCTTACGACACATTAGAGCTAATTTTAAAAAGAGCTTTGGTCAAGTACATCTACAAAACCTTCTTTGGCAAGCGAGCGTTACACCCGAAACATGTGTGTATGATCGGATACGAGATCAAATCAAGGCAACATCTCAAGCTGCACATGATTGGATTGAGAGTAGTTTGGGAAGCGATTACGTCGACCGGTGAGTACTAAGTAAAGATGACGGTAATCGCTATTGCATGAAAACAACTAATTATTCTGAAAGCTTCAACGGTGTACTTAAGGGGGCTTGAACAATGCTCATACAGGCATTAGTTGCGAGGATATTTTATAGACTAAATCGGTATTTTGTCAAGCGGCGAGATGATGGAGCAAAGTGGAGGACATTGTTCACCCCAAAAAATAAAGAGATTATAGGAGCTCGTATCAAGCAGGATAGATTGACTAAGATTGTTAGATTTGCTATAGATAAATGGGAGGTTACAGACAATCATGATCATAATTACACCGTCAATTTACGAGGAACACAATGCACATGCACATGTAACATACCAGAATTGCAAAAATTGTCATGTTCACATGTTAAAACGGTTACGACCAAGCAATTTGGGAGTGCAAATACATTGTATTACACATACGTTTCTGAGTGGTATCAATCAAGCCACTATAGAGATTCATACAGTTAGTTTTTTCAGAGGACGCGTAATGTAAGACGTGATGGACGCGAGGAGCGACCAATTGAGTACGGTCGTCGACGGTTCCGAGGACACAAGGGGGCAGGCTCAAGCGGTGCACATGATGAAGCTGACGGCTCACAGCAGACCCAAGCCGGATGTTCACAATCGATTCGAGTCGATGAGGATGTCATACACTCCCAACTTCACATACAACCGGACGAGGAACTCATCCGAGCTCACGTCGAAGGTGAACGTGTTAGGGGGAGGGGGAGGGGGAGGGGGAGGGTAAGAGGGAGAGGGAGAGGAAAGGGAGTTGTATCTGATTAAAACTGAATATTATGTATCTGATTGAGTATTGATAGGATGTTTGCGTTTGAAACTAAATTTTATGTATTCGATTGAGTATTGATTATTAGTATGTGAATTGCATGGTTGTATCCGATTGATTATGGATTTTTATTTAAGATTATTGATTGGTATGTGTATTATTGTGATTGTGATTGCATTGTGGATTGATTATGGATTGATATGTAACAACAGAAGTTTGCATTTCCAGGTGAAAGTGGGTGTAAGTAGAGTCTGTCAAATGGTCGGGGTTGGGAACCCCGACCATTTTGTGCACGTACAAGAAACGGTCAGGGTTCCCAAACCCGACCATTTTGTCGTAGAAAAATTCTCCTTTGCTAAATGGTCGGGGTTTCCAACCTCGACTGTTTTCAGCTCCATTCGACGACTGGGCTGAGCTCTCTGCCATATGGTCGGGTTTGAGAACCCTGACCATTTCGAAATACTGCTTTCGAAATGGTCGGGGTTGCCAACCCCGACCTATAAGACAGGACACTAAATTAGTCGGGTTTGGTAACCCCGACTATTTTAGCTTGTACATAGCTAAATAGTCGGGGTTGACAACCCTGACTATTTAGAGGCGTCATTAAAAAAACCGACCCATTTTGTGGTCACGCTGCTGACATGGCCACGAAATGGGTCGGTTTTAAGAAATAAAATGGCTGTGGGTCGATTTTTTTAATAAAAAAAATTAAATGGGTTTATTTTGAAAATTTGTTCAAAAAAGTAGCCACAAACCAAAAGCCAATACCAACAAAGGCAGAAGCCAGTGCACGAATAAAGCTAATTTGGGTAACATAAAAGTAGACCGTAGAAATAACTTTTAAGAGTGGACGATAGAAAGAAGCAAGACAAGATAACAAAACAAAGGATCGAACTAACTTATTATAAATAAATAAAAAAGACACAAGTATAGAATTGAAAATGAGTCATCACTTGAGTTTAAACTCCGATCAGTATCCATAGAATCAAATTCTTCAATATATAACCATTTTGCGAGTAAAGAAAATGAAAACATCAATCCAGGCAAAGAATCAAGAAATAGAGGACAAAATGACACGATCTTAGTATATTACTACAAATATATATATATCAAAAAAAAAACATGAGCATGACAATAAATGAGTCTATCCTTCCGTTCAAACTCCAGATCAGCAACTGCAGACCTAAACCTTCATAATATCAACAAAGACAAGCCTAATTGCGAGTAAACCAAACGAAAACATCAATCCAGACAATGAATCGTAATGCGTTACTGTAAATAAATCAAAAACAACATCAAACGACTCATCGCTTCACATTAAACTCCAACCCAGCATCCACAGAACAAAATCCTTCAAGATATCACCAGACACAAGCCAAATTGCAACTAAAGAAAGCGAATTCAATAAATTACGAGCTCGAATCGAAGCTCACCCTCGGATCTTCCCCCGTGTTACGCGATCGGCGATGAACGATCCATAGAAGAGCGAGGGAACGTTCGCGATCTCAAGCTGACGAGAGCTCGATTGGAGAAACCCTAGCTTTGTAGCCCTAGATTTGGGGAGAGAGAGAAAGAGGGATGATGAGGAGAGAGAAGCGCTGACCAACATTTTCTGTTTTTAGAAATCGCGAGGGGAGGTGGTGGCTCGTCTTGAGAGTACAGGAGACGCAGTTCTTTTTTAGGAAATGGGGAAAGGGAGGGATTTTATATGATCGCGGGTGACGTGACGAGCTGACTCGGATTGCTGACACAAGATTCCAGCTGTCCGTATTTTTATGTCGACTTTATTTCTAAACCCAAAGATTTTCTCTGGTATACTCTGAGACCCACTCCACTCGCTTTATAAAGTCATCATTAAAACCAAGATGTCTACATTGAATTATTTTTCCGCCCAAGTATCATAACCAAAGTTTTGCTTGGCTTACTTTTAGATGCTCTCCCTTTATAATCATTAATAAACCCAAGGTCTCTATATTGAATTTTTTCACACCCCGTTATTATACTAGTATGCCAACTTAAATCCGAAGAACAAATTTTCACTGTAGCCCGATTTTAAATTTTTATTATCAAAATCGACTGTATCTCGTTTAATTTACTGAAATCGACCCGTTTTCTCGTCACGTCAGCGTCGTGGCGAGAAAACGAGTCGATTATTTTTTAATCGGCTTCGTAAACTGTCAGGGTTGGCAACCCCGACTGTTTAGTCGATCGCCTGTTAACAGCTTAACTAAATGGTCGGGGTTGGGAACCCGGACCAATTTGTAATGGTCCTATTTCGAATTGGTCGGGGTTCCCAACCCCGACCAATTGGCAGAGCCCAGCCCCGCTGGTTTTAACCAGTGCACGAATTGGTCGGGGTTGGGAACCCCGACCAATTCGGAGCCCATTTCGAATTGGTCGGGGTTCCCAACCCCGACCATGTAGTACAAAATATAATCACAAATAACACATGCTAAAATGTAATCATACTCCTGTTATCAATCCACAATGCAAACACAAATATCATACGTACAATTCATATTCGCAAACTTAACATTATATCAAATCCATCGCAACACAAACAACATATCAAGTCCAAATTGCAACTCAAACGCAAACATCCTATCAAGTCCATCGAAACTTAACAAATATCAACAACGGCCTTTCCCCTCCCTCTCCCTCTCCCTCTCCCTCTCCCTCTTCTTCCTCTCCCCCTTCCTCGATCACCTTCGACGTGAGCTCGGATAAGTTCCTCGTTCGGTTGTGTGTGAAGTTGGGAGCGCACGACATCCGCGTCGACTCGATCCGCCTGTGAACATCCGGCCTGTGATCCGCCAGCTTCATCATCATGTGCACGGCTTGATCCTGCCCCCGTGTGTCCTCGTCGACGTCGCCGACCGTACTCAATTGGTCGCTCCTCCCGTCCATCGCTGCTTGCATTACGCGTCCTCTGAAGAGCCGACCGTATCTTTTTTATCATTCGAAGGAACGTGTTCCTCGGCGCCTGCTCGGTAGTCGTGCACAATGCGTCATGTGCCATTCCGGAAAGCTCTTCGAGCTCTTGTACCTATAAAATAAAAACCGAAAGAAAATTAGTATCAAGTGGATGGTGAGAAAATAAAACTTAGAAAATAATTGTATATTATTCTTATACACTTACCAACTCTCTCTCGACTGGGCCTCATGGTATGTACTCCTTCGGGGCTTTGTTTTCCTGAAATATCCACTGGCGAGTAATCCCCCAATACCACCGTAGGTACACACCTAGGTCAGGTGCATCAGCCCTCTCCATCACTACCTGTTCCTCCCTTAAATCCCACCTCCTGATGTAATTTTGGCGAATTATTTCCCAATTAGCACGATGTGCACCTTTTATCCAAGCTCTCTCTATTCTCTCCACAGGCCTTGGAATATGTTGTCGTAGTCCAAATTGTCGAAGCACACGGTCAGGCACGTGCATTTCGACAATCTCAAAGCATATCCCCTTTGGAGAGGTTTGCCAGGATCTGGACACATTCCATCTATTTTATATACAACGGGTTAGTATATATTGAAATAAAACACTAACGTTACATGCATCTTAATAATACCTGCAGCCTAAAGGAATATGGCCATCGAGAGCGCGGGCCTCCCTCAAATCAGGTGTTCCCAAATGCAATCGCTCCCATGACCATATCTGTAGCAAAGTGAGGCAGCCCTTCAATTCTTTGTTTTGTACGAGTGCTATTTTGTCATCTCCCTATACAAATAGGCTAACACTGCACTCCCCCAAGATAACTCGCCACACTCCGATAGGTCCCTAAGAAGCGGTAACCATCTCACGTGCACGGAATCCTTAGTGGAATCCGGAAACAGAATAGTACCGATCATATGTAAAATATATGCACGGGCATAGCTCTAAATGATCTCATCAGGCCATTCCGGATTATCTTCGACATCTTGGGTAACAAATTGTATGCTATCAACTGGTGCACTATATTGTTCTTCACCTCCCGAGTCATTGCTTCTTTCATCCTCTTCGATTGATGCCCCACTTAACGGCCCCATATTTCCATAAGAGACTTCGTTATTCATGACATTTGACGTTCCACCGAATTAAGCCGCTCCATTTCATTCGAAGAAGAAAGAAACCCATCGGAATTAACTCTCATATCTAACATGCGTGAGAATTCTCCTGGAGGTTTGAATATTTGGCACGAATTATGTGGCAACTTTTCAATAAATAATTCTACCTTTTTTGTTGCGACTTGCCCAAATTAAACATAATACTCATATGATAATCGTTTGAGATCTCCACTGCGGATGTTCTATCAATAGCTATGGGCCAATTGCATATAATTTTCAGTCGGTATTCTCGTGGGTCAATTTCCGTAACTCGGTGTAATTCCATAACCAAGTCGTAGTAACTATATGATTCCGAGATCATTAATGGCGTTGTTACCCCTCCGACGTACATTGGCATATTATTCATCCCATAATTAATTTGCCCACCATAAGAACAAGCAATAAACATCATATTGTTCAACCTATTCAAAAGAAAATTATATCATTTAAATATAAAAAATTAAATTAATATACAAATAATCTCATATAATTTCAACCAAAAACTCTAATTCCCAAATTGTAAATCCTAAACCCTAAAATTGAACAATTGAACAATATATGCCCTAAAAGTTAATTACATCAATAATAATCATCATAAAAACGAATTTCAGCGATAACTCTAGCCCACGAAATTCATTTATAAATGAAAACCCTAGCAAATTATTTTTAAGGAAAAAATCCTACATTTCTACATGTTAAAAGAGGAGAGGAGTAGAAGACCCTAGCAAATTATTTTTAAGGAAAAAATCCTACATTTCTACATGTTAAAAGAGGAGAGGAGTAGAAGAAATTACCTAAAAACGTTGTAGATAACTTTTGATTTGAATTTCCACCGAAGAAACGAGTTCAAACTTGAGATCTGAAGCTTTGGTTTTGGGAGAACGGACGGAAGAGAGAAGAGGGAGGCGGAGAAATGAGCTGGGATCGGGGGAATGAGGTCGCGGTGGCTTTTATACGGGCAGGGGACCCAGAATAAGTAGTCGTGTTTGCCAAACCCGACTACTTTTTGCCTCGGCCTTGGCCTCTGCTTAATGGTCGGGGTTGGGGCCCCGACCAATTAAAAATAAGCTTCGAATTGGTCGGGGTTCCCAACCCCGACCATTTCGTCCGTGGCAAAACCCAACGCTGGCTGGGCTCTGCCAATTGGTCGGGATTGGGAACCCCGGCCAATTCGAAATAGGACCATTACGAATTGGTCGGGGTTCCCAACCCCGACCATTTAGTTAAGCTGTTAGCAGGCGATCGACTAAATAGTCGGGGTTGCCAACCCCGACAGTTTACGAAGCCGATTAAAAAATAATCGACCCGCTTTCTCGCCACGACGCTGACGTGGCGAGAAAACGGGTCGATTTCAGCAAATAAAACGAGATACAGTCGATTTTGATAATAAAAATTTAAAATCGGGCTACAGTGAAAATTTGTTCTAAATCCGAACTAGTACGTGGTCCTGTGCAAAGCACGGGTCTCATACTGTTCAGGTCCTAATTTTGACTGAATATTATTTAGACTGGTGCAAAGTACGGGCAAAGCTTAAAAGGGTTGTGGAAGGATACAATAACAATGAGATTATAACTTCTTTAGATACTTTACATCGTATATAAGTTTACAGACCTAACCAACCTAAATTTCACGGAAGCATAGTTTAAGGATTTGGATAACATTAATCATCAATACAATGAAGCATAGGACCTGATGTCGAAACAACCAACTTGTATCCGCAATATACATCAATACTGAAGAAATTAGCCAAATTGTTCATCATAAGCACAAGAAAGTAATATGTCTTATCCATTGATTCTCCTAAATGAAAGTTAGGCAACCCGGACAAATATTCAGTCTCATGCAAATCATGGCGTATAAATCATCCTTTGTCTTTGTTGTTAAAGAAATTGTCTTTTGACAACACATGTTTGTGATGTTAATTAGACAACATTGTTGATATAAATGAATAATGGAGGATATAGACGAAAGGATATCATTCATATGGTTGGATTCCATAAATAAAAATAAAAATGTATTTAATTAATAGTGTGTGAGTTTTAGTCCCACATTGACTAATTGAACGTATTATAGATGGTTTAAATTAACAATATATGGTATAACAAAAGTGTTAAAAATGTACACTTGTGTAGGTATGCAAGCAAGCATCATGTTTAGCATGTTTTTTTATGATTCCCATATTAAAAAAAAAAACTCATTTTTCTTTTTTGTTTTTAACGTGGTGTTTGTTGTATTTCATGGGGCATCCCTGAAATCCATACAAAGTATGATGTGCCACGTTACAGATATTCAAATTTTAGCAAGCGCGCATATTGTAAGCTAGTTACGCATTTTAGCTGATTTATGTGTTTTTTATGGTCATTAAAAAAATTTTAAATATGTGATTGAGATACTCAATAATCATATCGATGGTTGCAATTAGAGGGCGACTTCATCTCCTTATATAGGTTTAAACAAGGATCGATTCCCAACAATTAATTAAGTGTTATCCTATAATTGGCAAGCAATAAGCATAACCAACAGAAAATGTCTTTTTTTTTTTTGCTAAGTAAAATGCTTTATAGCACTATAATATATAACTACTGA